AATTTTGCAGAACATGGATTGAGTGAAGGAGCAGTGACACCGGCAGCATAACAAATATTGCTTTTCCTAAAATGATGCTGACTTGAGTATATTTTTCTTATTCATGAACTTGGAAATGAGAATGGAGACTTTACCCTATTTTTAATGGCAAGAGTTTTAAAATATTGGTTCCTGCTTTTCCTAAATAACCTTTACACTATGAAAATAGTGTCATCATGATCAAAATAAGACCTATTTCACTTGTTTTGGTAAGAAAGAGAGCAAAATACTTTAATCACCTACAATAATCATGTCCAAACATGTTTTATAAGCCAATGGGTGTTTTCCTACAATAGTCTGCACTGTGGTTTGAATATGCATTCCAAATCTCATGATGAAATGTGATGGTCATTGTAATAGCATCAAAAGATGGACTAATGATGTTATTGTGGAAGTGGGCTCGTTATTGTGAATGTGAGTTGTAATGGGGCAAACTCTGCCCTCTCTCCTATCTTTCATGTGTGCTTCCCCCACACTAAGCCATGTTGTGCTGCAACAAACAGACTGTCAGCAGGTGTCTGTTTCATGCTGTTGGACTTGCCAGCCTTCAGAGCCATAACCAAATTATCTTCTATTGTTTGTAACTTCTTGTAGCTTATTATAGCAGCAGAAAATGGATTAAGATACCCCTAGAATAATTATTTACTTTTGCCCCAAATCCATGCTTGGTTAATTGTTTACAATTTCTGTCAATCACCATAGACATGTGATAAAATTTCCAAAAAGCTGGTTTGTTCATAATGTAACATATAGGTTGATGTAGAAATTGTGTCTATTTGAGAATAAATGCTGATTCAGATGGTGGATGGCCACATGGTCATGCGTAGAACTGCTTTTTTAAAAAAATCTTTTAGATCTCCTGGTGTCATAATTTATCTTATTTTATTGTAAAAAACCATGGTAACATGATTCTCAATTTTATAAGTGTGTATAAATCTAGTGTAACAATTTAATTTTGGTACTCATCATTTTTGCAGCTTTTTGTGTGGGCAAAAATGAAGTCAACAGAGAATCTTGAGTTAAAAATTTTGTCAGTTTTGGCCCTTAAACTTTGTTTTTTTTTCTAAGAAAAAATAAAAACAAAGAGACAAATAAGCATAGCTATTAGTTAGTTTTAGTCTATGGAAACAAAACAAAACAAAAATCAGTATGTATACTACTCACAATTTACCCAGGAAGGTAAGAGAAGATTTTTACTGTAGTTTGACTATAAAGTCTAGTACATACCATGTTTCACTATGTCAAGACTCCAAGTACTGCTGGGCATTGTGGCACACTCCTAGAATTCAGCACTCAGAAGGTTGAGGCAGGAGGTTGCCATGAGTTCCAGGCCAGCCTGAATTACATAGTAAGATCCTCTCTCAAAAACAAAAACAACAAAAACAAGCAAAACAAAAGAAAAAAGAAACCAATTACTGTCTGTTCTTGACAGGTAGATAAATACCCTTGAGTGAGAATTACAGGGAGTGAGTCATCCTCATCACACCAGAATGGTTAGAGTAGTGGGTTGACATTGACCAAAACTGAATTGGACAATGAAACTCTTGTGGAGAGTACTTCTTAAATGTGAAACCTTTGGTTATTTCTTCCAGAGAAGGCTAAAGGCACTGGTTTGTGCAGTGAATACCACAGGCACAAATCATCTGAAATAAGGCATTGCAGATGCATTTTCAGGGATTGATAGAGATGCTGCATTAATGCATACACTCATCACCATTTTGCACAAGACAGTGAAATATACATTGCTAACAAGGGTCAACATGTTGAAGCTTCATCACCACCTGTTCCTCAGACAAAGGGCTACTATCTAGAATATATAAAGAACTTTAAAAAATCCGACCTCCGAAATTTAAAGACCCAGACCAAAACTGGACGTCTGAAATGAACAGATATTTCTCAGACAAAGAAGTAGAAATAGCAAATGAACATATGAAAAAATGTTCAACATCACTGGTCATTCAAGAAATGCAAATGAAAACTATGCTGAGTTTCTACCTCACTCCAGAAAGAATGGCTGCTATCAAGAAATAACCAATAACATGAAGGGAGGGCAGGGACAAGGGGAAAAATGAGGACCAAGACCTGTCATGTAAAGTTACAAGATCCCAATGATGAATGTAACTGTACTGTATACCTAAAATGCAGCAATAAACTCAATGAGGAAAAAATTACTAAATTTAAATTTAAGAAATCAACCAATAACAAATGCTGGCTAGGGTGTGGGGAAAAAGGAATCCTTCTTCATTGTTGGTGGGAGTGCAGACTGGTTCAACCACTGTGGAAATCAATATGAAGATACCTCAAAAAGCTAAGATTGGAAGTTTCATTTGACCCAGCTATTCCCCTGCTGTGTATCTTCCCAAAAGAATTAGAAGAATCATATCACAGTGATACTCAGCCATAAAAATGAGGAATTAGAGACATTTATACCTAAATGGATGCAAATTGAGCTGATAGTCTTAAGTGATATAAATAGTACACACGTGTAAATACCGAATAGTTTCTCTAGTGTGAGAAACTGAAAGTGTAAATTAGGACTAAAAGGTATAATAGATAATGTGAAATAGGAAGAAAAGGGATAAAGAGCAAGGGGAAACAGGAGGGGTAGGGGAAAGGAAAGAAGGGAATGGAATTAATATGAAAACAATGAAAAATAATGGAAACAAAATCTTTGTAGGGAGGGAGGGGTTGAAAAGAGGGCAGGGGAATGGGGAAAAAATAAGAAAAAATAAGGTTGATTATGTAAAGGTACAAATTTCCAACAATGAAGGTCATTATAACATATACATTAAATGTACAAATAAAATTAATTTAAAATATGACAGTAAGCACCGCATGTATTTTATTTTCTTTTTCTTTTTTTCTCTTAAATTCTTTTATTGGTACACTTTAGGTATACAATACATTTATATTCATCATTGGGAACTTGTACCTTGTATCTTGGTTCTATTTTTCCCCATTCCCCTGACCTCCCTTCAACCCCTCCGCCATTCCCTATTTGCAAAAGCTTTGCTTCCTTTTACTTCTTATCTCATATTTTTTTCCTTTCTCTTCTTTCCTCTCCCCTCTCTTCCAATTTCCCCTACCCCTTAGTACCCTTTCTTCCTATTCCACATTATCAATTCTTCATTTAAATCCTTATTTATACTTTTAATATCACCAAACCATATATTATGTGTATTTGTCTCTCTCTTTTTTAAAATATATGCCCACTCTATAGATTTAGTCTCTGAGGAAGAACCTGCCTAGGATGATCAACCAGCCTTTTTGTCTGGGCCTGCAGTTTTCATGAATTCTAGATTTTCAGTTTTAAAATCAGGCAGGTCCTGGTATTGGAATGTTTTTTAGGTTCTGGGGATCTAACCTAGGGCCTTATGCATGCTAAACAAGTACTCTACTGATGAGATATACCCAAGGCCAGGAAAGTCCTAGGAAAAGTAGGATAAGTTGGTTACCCTAACAGTAACATGAAAAGATATAAAAAACTTGACCAATATGCTTCAAATTGAATAATAGCATAGGAAGTATGGGATCAATTTAATGTTAATTTCTATATAGGAAAGAGTAGTGGTCAGGCTTCCACACAGTCTGTCTCAAGTGCATTTCATCATACCTTGCATGGTATTTTAAACATATAACTAAGAATTTACAGAGCAACTCAGCTACTCACCTTGAATTTTAGCTTGGAGCCAGAGGTATAGCATAGAAACAAAAGCAGTTACTCAGCCCTGCAAGAACTAGGAACATTTTCCTTGATTTATATGAACCTTTTCAGAAGTATTACGATGAATGACCTAAAAGAAAGGAAGGTATCTTAATCTTTTTTCTGCTACTATAACAGAATACTTGAGACTGGATAATTTATAAAGGAAAATGGATTTATTTTGGCTGATCATTCTGGAGGCAACAAAATCCAAGATTAAGTGATCACATCACGTGAGGGCCTTGTGTTGCTTCTTAACATGGAAGAAGTCAGTAGGTGAGTGAACAACATGCAGAAGAGTCAAAATACAAGAAGCAGACTTACTTTTTAACAACCAGCTCTTGAGGGAACTAATATAGTCTCGTGAGAAAGACATTAATCCATTCATGAGAGACCTATCCCCATGATCCAAAAATTTCCCATTAGGTCCCACCTCCTGGTGCAGCTGCACTGAAGAATTAATAAATTTCAGCATATAAACTTTTGGGGGAACACACTTAAACCATAGCAGGGGATATAATCAACTAGGAAAAAATCCTTCCAGCTTTGGGACTGCCTCCTGTCTTGCATAATACCATATTTATAATCTTGAGAAAAAATTAGGAAAAGAATAAAGGATCTGGAGCTAGGAATTTTACTCCCACTCCTTTTTGACTGTGTGACTTTGATCTCCGAGCTTCTGTGGCATCATCTATGTTATAAAGGATCTCTGATCTCAACTACTTCCTTTGTCATCTAATCTCAAACAGTTATGGTCCTTCCCACTAGCACACAGTGCTCTGTGGTGGTTATTTACCCAGTGTTGATTGATTCCTTATTATCTCTCTGAGAAGAGGGGTTATATACCTTTTTAGGTTGGACTGTGCTCCCATAAAGGGTACACATTGCTTTTGGTTCAACCAAGGAATGAAGAGTCTTTTTGAGTATTTCATGAGGTAACATAAATTTAGAATTCATAGAACCTTATTTCCCTATCTCTCTACTCAAACATACCCACATGCCTAAGGTTCCTGACTTCCTTCTGTAGCTGAAGAATCAGATTTAGTTAATAGATACTTTCTAAATATACAAAGAACCTGAAAAATTTGAAAATAAGATTCTATATCTGCATGTTCCTCAATCTACATATTAGGCCAAAATGTCAATTTCCATCTAGTCATTTGGGGGTACTGTAAATCTACCCCTGGGCTTTGGCCAAAGGAATGTGATCAGGAGAACTGGTTTGTTTTTATAACTAATGGTCTCTATTTCTATGCAGGTCTGATCAGAGCAGACTGAACTGATCACCAACAATTTAGAAGGATTACCTGGATTTATGCCAATTTTGAGCCCTATTTCTACATGCTAGACAAGAAATTATGTCTGAGCAGGCAGTGAAATGTGAGTACTGCTGGGCAGTTTATTTCATTTTATCCAATCAACTCAATATTTCAGCTGTATGTGATTTTCTGTCCAAATTATGTAGTTGATTGCTTTATTTAAAAAAAATTTCCTTCTGCATGTCTAGACACATCATTAGAACTTACAAAGAAGATGAGAAAATTTAAGTGACAAGCCTATCTTCACAGCACAAGGCTTTCTGAGGAGGATAAACTTAGAAACTTACTCTTTTATAAACAATTTATGTAATATAAGCCTTACAAAGTAGTTGGTACAAGGAAAATGGTTCAACTTGCCAATACATTTATATGGGGTAGATATGACAAAATACCCATAAAACCACAGTTTTTATGGTGGGCTGCAGGGAAGTGCCACAACTCTTTCAAGTAGTCCTTTAATTTTGTTACTTTAAAGAAATATCTAGTATAATGATCCAAAAATTTTATGGTCCCAACTATGGTCATAAAATGCCCACAATAGGTGGTGTGCCTGCACAATTGTTGTCCAGGATAGTCTTGCTATTGTGATTTTCTTGCCTCACTACATACTATATTTTTCCTAAATATATTACTCTCAGCTGTACATTCTTAAAGATCCAAAAGAATGATGGAAATTAAACAAACCATACAACCAAACTGAATTCTTGGTGAATAATTATTTTATGTATAAACATAATAAGAATGTAAAATACAGGCTGTTGCTGACTTACACAAACTTATGGTTTGCCACAAATGCTCTTTTAGTTTTACGTAGCCAGTTCCACTTGCCTATTTTCATGTTTTGCATGTGGTATATATCCTTGTTCATTTTATTTTCTTTTTAAATTATGAAATGAAATTGTTGGAATTAAAGGCGTATGTGCTTGTACTCTTACATACTACTTGTTGGCATATTCGGTGTTCAAATTAGGTATATTTTATGTCAGCTTTCTGTCACTATAGTAAATACTGAGATAGTCAACTCAAGAGAAATTGGCTCATAGCTTTGGGGGTTCTATCCCAGATTCCTTTGCTTAGGGCCCATGACCAGGCAGTATATCTTGGTGGGAACATATGGTAGATCAAAACTGCACACCTCATGGGCAAGAAGCAAAACAGAAGAGGAAGGGGGTGTGTCTCTACAATTCCCTCCCTGGCCATGCCCCCACTGGCCTCAAGACCTCCCACTAGAACCGATCTTTTAAGGGTTCTACCACTTCCCAATTGCCCCACCCTGTGACCAAGCCTTTAATGTATGGGCCATGACCACCGTACCTCTTTTACCCACTGTACTAATTTCTTCCTAAAATTTAAGACTAGGTTTTAAAATGCTGCTTGGTATATAAAAGTTTGAGAACTTTGACTTTCTCAAGTCCAGTGTTTTGCAGCTGCATGGAAGGGAAAGAGATGCACATTACAGTATATTTGTGCAGTGCTTGCCAATAGAGTTTTTTCTTTCCTTCAGAAACATCTAGTGCACCATCTCTTTCCTAAACACCAGTGTTGGGCTGGCGACTTTAGGAACTGGCAAGTGAACAGGACCTTGTGCTAAGCCTAGGGGAGCTTACTGTGAGTGGGACTCATGGATAGTGTTCTGTGCACCTTTACAAAGACAAGTGCAGGGCTTCCCATCAGTTTCTCTGTGTCCAGTGTAATGGTTAACGAAGCTGATGAGTTAATCAATGCTTTTTAAGATTAACCATGGAGGTGGCCTAAGAAAGCATGTGATTAAGATACATGTTGGGAAGCTACAATTCTCGTAATCCACAATTATCAAAAGGGATGCTATCTTGAGTTTTAGAACATGTTTATAGATATAACAGAAATGAGTTACTATGGTGCGGACTTTAGGGAAAAAAACGATCCCCTACCATGTATTCTAGTGCTCTGCGTATACTCTGTTCTATGCTTACTCATGATGTTTTTCCTGAACACAGAGATCTAATTGAATCATACTACCTATAAGGTTTATATAAAAACCAAACCAAACCAAAAAATAAAACAAAACAGAAACAAAAGAAAGAAAGAAAAGAAAGGAAAACTACTTGCAAAATCCCAACCACGTTTTAAGTGTTCCTGGGGAGAACTAATCTTTCTTTTATTCTCTATCAGTCTTTTTGAGATGGTGAGTAGCTTTTTTACACTAAATTTTATGATTAACTCAAATGTTTATATACTCCTCTTGTCAAATATATTGGTTGAAAAATTTTGAATTTGTCAAGTTTGGGTCCTCTAAAAATCAGAAGATTTTTTTTCTATTGTATAATATACTTATTACTGTTTTATAATATCTCTATGTAGTATAATTGTGGAAAAAGAAAAACATCAGAAAATTGGACTGAATGAAAGTTTAAAATGTAGCAATCTGAAGAAGAAAGTAACTTCTTTTGTAAAATATAGAAGACTCTCTGTGAAGAATAGTGATTTCTTTTTTTTTGTTTTTATTGAGTTTATTGGTACAGTCTAGATCTACAATACAGTTACATTCATTACTGGGATCCTGTACATTTATATGACAGGTCTTGGTTCTCATTTTTTCCCCTTGTCCCTGCCCTCCCTTCACCCCCTCCTCCCCTCCCCATTAACAAACTCTTTATTTCCATTTTTTCATTTTCTCTTATTTTTTCTTTTCTCTTATTTCTTTTACCCTACCCTTCCCACTTAGAATAGTGATTTCTAATTCTCTGTTTTCTCCACAGAGAAGATGTAGATTAATTCTGAAGAGGAGGAATTTAGGTAAAAAAGTTTAAATAGCAGCCTCCTCTAGAAGGTCTAAATACAGTGAAACTGGTTAATGAAGAAATTTCTGTAATTTCCTTTTAAAATTTTTAAATTAATCTTGAGAGCCACCTGACTATTGATGTACCTATGTTCTGAAAGACTAGATGGCTTCTTCTTTTGGACCCCATTATTCCTTCCTACATCACTGCAAATTTGTTTCATGAGTTTTATGAATTGGACCAGTTTATCAACTGCTTTAAGCTTCTTCTTCCTCTTAGGCATTTTGTCACTCTCCTCTGCCATCTTTTTACTGCCTTGGAGACAGCTGACCATGGACCTAACCGGTCAGCCAAAATAAACCTCTTTTCTTTAATTTCCAGTGTTAAGTACTGTGTCTCAGCAGTGTAAAACTACAAAAGCAAGGCATACCACATTTAAGGATTACTAGACTCAGTGGTTTATAATATCAGTTTATCTCAAATTGGTCTATGCATTTAATGAGATTCCAAACAAATTCCATTAGGACTTTTTATGGAAATTGAAAATCTACTTCTAACACTTGTAGGAAAATACAAAGGAAATAGAATAACCCAAATAACTTTTTAAAAGTAGAACAGTTTAGATGTCTTATACTACCCAATTTTAAGACTTTATTTAAAAACTGTGGAAGTAAAGTTAATGTGACTTTTTTTGGTGGTACCAGGGATCGAACTTGTGCTTACAAGGCAGGCGGCAGAACCAATGAACCAAATCCCTAGCCCCAAAGTTGATGTGATTTTGATGTCAAATAGATGAATGGAATGAAATGAACAATCAGGAAGTAGAACCACTTATATATGGCTGTTTTCATTTTTAAAGATATGTAAAAATAGTGGATCAAGGAAATGCTTTAACAAATAATGCTGGAACAATTTGATTATCAATTTAGAAAAAAAACAAAACAGATTCATACCTTGCACTATATATAAAAATTAGCTCTAAATAGGTAAAAGACCTAAATTTGAAAACCTAAAACTGTAAAATTCTAGAAGATAACAAGGGAAAATACTTTGAGACCTTTGGGTTATGCCAAGATTTCTTAGATATGACACCAAAAGTTTGATCTATAAAACATTGATCATTGGACGTTATCAAAATTAAGCTCTAATCTTTAAATAGCATAGTTAAGACAATGAAAGACAGCCCTCTTTCTGAAAGAAACCATTTGAATGTTAATATTGTAAGAAGTACTAGCCTATATAGGCTCCCCAAAATTTAGTAGCAAGAAAAAACTTATCCAATTAAAATAAGGAAAAGAGCGAGTTACTTCTTCAAGGAAGATATTAAATGGTAGGTGAGCATAAATAGTTTTTAGTCATTAAAACAAAATAAAACATTAATAGCATAATACTCTTTACCTGCTAAAATATACAAAATTGTAAAGACCTACCTTATCAATTATTGACAAAGTTGTAGTTACTAGAACTCTCTCACATTTCTTTTGCGAATGTAAAGATGGTATAATGACTTTGTAACACAATTTGGCAGGCATTAAAAGTTACATATATCATTACCACATGACTCAAAAATTGTATTACTAGGCATTTACCCAAGATAAATGAAAGTATGTGTCTATCTTAGTATTTACATGTTCACAGCAGCATTATTTATGATAGTAAAAAAATTACAAAATAACCCCAAATATCTATTAATGCATGAATAAACAGTTGTAGTATATCTATATTAATTAATTCTAGATTATCAATAAAAGGAAATAACTTTTTATATGTGCCATAGCATGAATGACTCTGGAAACAATTATACTGAGTGAAAAAAAACCAGATTAAAAATATGCTTACAATATAATCCCATTTATATAGTATTCTACAAAATGAAACCTAACCTAGAGCAACAGCAACCAGACAAATGTTTGCCTGGAGATAGGGCACTGGTAGTGAGAAGTAGGGGTGTATTAAAAAGTTGCCCCACAAAATTCTGAAGGGTGATGGATATACTCATTGTCTGGGTATTAAGGGTTTCACCGGTATATATAAACTGTACACAATTTGTTGTTTGTCAATTACATCTCAATACAGCTGTTAAGAGTAGGTTTTTATGTGAGTGCTGTTGAGTACAATAATTATGGAGAAAGTCAAGTCCCTGTAAGCTCTCATTCCGGGAAGGGGTAATTTGTGAAAACAGGTGGAAGCGGCAGTGGAGGTTCCCTCCCCACAATGTTCTTCACTCTTTTATGTTCAGAATTACTGACAAAAAGATGATCACGTTGGAGGTTTGTGTCCTATATACCTCTTTCTCTTCTCT